CATATGTGGGTGCTTGAACTTGCGCTTGTACTTGTACTTGTACTTGCGGGTGCTTGTACTTGTACTTGTGTGTGTGTGCATTTGTGTTGTTGTGCCCAAAGTCACGTGCAATCCAGCTTCGCAGCACCACGGACATCGTTAATTCGCCAATGCCTCAGCCCAATCAATCACACACCGTGTACACATATCGATATACTCACGTGTAACCATGTCCTTTCAACATCCTGCACCCTCATTCACTAGGACCGAGAAACCATGATGAACTTTGTGTTTAGCACCAACACCACACTGGACATCCACTTCACCACATCCCGCAGCTACGCCACCGTGGGCGACATCTTGGTGCGTACATTCGGTCGTGGTTGTGCACACACGCGCGCACACAGCACGCTTGTATGCACAAACACACACACACGCACACACACACACACACACACACACACACACACACACACACACACACACACACACACACACGTGCGCGCGCATGAATGTAACATGTTGCGCGCCTGTCGAGCAGCACACCCAATGCGTTGCTGCTGTTGACAAGCCTTCACCTCATCGCTGTGCCCCTTTTTGTGCCGTTCACGCACACACGCGCACGCACACTCACACTCACTCTGCCTCTCTCTCTCTCTCTGTACCTGTTTGCGTCTCTCCTTGTCTTTGCTTTGTTTACCAACTGTAGGAAACATACGGGGTGATTGTGCGCGACCTTGATCAGCCGCTGCTGGCACAGTGCCCACGATCGGCATCCCACTTTGGGATCATGAATGAAGCAACTCAAGAGTGGACCACCGAACTCTCTATCGATGTGGGAAGCCTTACTCATGACGAAGCTGAGCTGCTGCTGTCAGACCTCGTGATTTGCCCGGCGAACACATATGCGCTTCACTATCTCATCATCTTCGAACTATGTGACGAGTTTCATTGCCCTGAGGAAGCATTCTGCACTTGCAGTCCTTGCAAGCGTGCGAACCCAGTGCAGGTCGGTAAGCTATGTCATGTTCACGCCTTGCACGTGATAGACTTTGATGTTGTGTTTGAACTGGTGCCCACTCCCTGTGTTTGTCGCCGTTCACATGATGTACTTTTCCCCTGCCAACACCGCCACCACTAGATCCACCACACAGAGGAGTTCTTCACGCAGCACACGCTGGAGACGAACCACGCGCTCCTGGCCGACATTCTCGGTGTCTCATGTGGGCGTATGCGCACTTGCAGCCAGGACCAGCAACCAAACACACAGTTCCTGCTGATCGAGGACAAGGTGTTTGATGAACGGCACAACCAGGATACGGTGTTCTTTCACGTGAACGTCAAGTCCTTGGAAGGTGACGGCTTTTCGTTTTCCACAGAAGGGGTGCCTGTGCCTGGCCACCCGTACCTTGCCACCGTCAACATTTCTGGCCTCCACTTTGGAACGCTCACAGTTGAGGTGCGCACACATTTCGTTTGAGAATCGTGCGTGTTTGTTTTTGTGTGTGTGTGTGTGCGTGTGTGTGTGTATGTGTGTGTATGTGTGTGTGTGTGTGTGCGTGCGTGCATGTGTGTGTGTGTGTGTGCGTGTGCGTGCGTGTGCGTGCGTGCGTGTGTGTGTGTGTGAGGGTATGCTCTTGTGTGCCGCTGTGAGAACCATAACGTTTCTCTTGTTTGTGACACTGGCTCATGCAATGCACATGCCGCTGCTCTCTCCCACACCCTCCCTCACCCCCCATACACACATATCAGGTGTTTCTCGCAGACCGCCTGACATCTGAGGAGGAGTGGGAGCCGATTACCGCCAGCCCCTTCCTTGTGGATGTGCTGCCACGTGACTGTCCCAAAGGCGAGGTCCCAACCCAAGACAATATGTGCGTGTGTCCTGCCGGCGCACTTCGCATTGGTGGCAAGTGCATGGATCCAGCAGAGTCGACACCTCTCTTTGTCTGCATCTCGCTGGTTGTGATAGGACTGGCAATGTACGGCGTGGTCGCTGTCATGCGCAAGCGTGCGGATGCGCTGTGGCATATTGACAGCGAGGACATTGTTGTGAGCGACCCGCCCGACATGCTTGGCCGAGGAGCGTTTGGAGTTGTGATCAAGGGGGAGCTGAACGGCACCGGCATCGCCATCAAGCGGGCAATGCCAAGGCCATCCTCCGATGCGTTGGCGTCCAGCTCGAAGAACCAGAAGTCAGGCACTTCGGTGGCTTCGTTTGAAGTCAAAGGCAATTCCTCACAGGCTGGTGTTGCCACCACCGTCTTCAACCTGGGCTACCACGCAAACGGCGGAGACTTGATTGAAAAGGCGTTGAAGCAAGATCACTCATCGTTGTTCGGATCCACACAGCGCGGGCGAACCACGAAGGACTACTCTGTGGCCAAGTACGTTGCACTTCACGTTTAAGCGGCCTGTATGTCCAAGATACACTTCATTCATGTCACCACCGCTCACGGCATATGCTTGTAATGGCCTTGTTGACACTGACGTACAGGGCCGAGTTCATGGCCGAGATTCGCCTGCTGTCGCGCCTGCGCCATCCGTGCGTCGCCACCATGCTTGGTGCCATCGTCACGAGATCCAAGGAGGTGCTTCTTGTCATGGAATACCTCGAGCACGGGTTAGCACGCGAGGTGTGGGTGGGTGGATGAGCAGATGGATCGGTGAACTTGGATCGCGCAAGTCTTCATTTGCGCCTGCGGTCGGACACCGCTGTCTCCTTTCACTCACATCCAACACATGCGCGCGCACATATTTATCCGCACACACACATACACACACCGCTCATAATTGCACGTACGTTCGAAGGTCACTGTATGACTTCCTGCGCAACGACAAGCTGCCGACGCCAGACATGTTCCTGCTGCCCATTGTCAAGGACATTGTGTCTGGCATGCGCTACATCCACAATCTCAAGCCACCGGTTGTGCACGGCGACCTGAAGGCAAAGAACGTGCTTGTGGACGGTAACTTCAAGGCCAAGATTGCTGATTTCGGGCTCTCGCAGAAGCGTCGCTTTGGCTGCGGCACACCATACTGGATGGCGCCAGGTGTGTGTGTGTGTGTGTGTGCATGTGCACACATGCGTGTTTGCACGTGTGTGTGTATGTGTGTGTATGTGTGTGTGTATGTGTGTGTGTTGCACAGCTGCGTCCTTTCCCCTACCTCAACACATACATAACCTTCCAACCACTGCCACTCACAATCACTGCCACTCACAACCACCACCACCACAACCACCCATTGCCACCAATCATTCAAATCATGCAGAGGTGCTGCGCGGAGGAGAGGTGACGCGGGAGGCGGACGTGTACAGCTTCGCCATCACCGTGTACGAGATCTACAGCCGACAGGACCCGTTCCCAGAGGAGAACGTGGCGGAGGTGCTGCAGCAGATTGCCGCACGCCAGGTGCCGGCAAAGCGACCCGACATCCCAGACTCGTGCCCCGTCATGCTGGCTGAGCTTGCGCGGCGGTGCTGGTCCGAGGAGCCCAAGTTCCGGCCAACGTTCGACCAGGTGGACGCGCAGCTGGGCGAGCTCAACATCAGCAAGGTGGGCGCAAGCCTCATCCAGCAGAAGCAGGACGCGCTGAAGAAGGCCACGGTGCTCAACGACGTGTTCCCGCCACACATTGCCAAGATGCTGGAGGAGGGCAAGAAGGTGCACCCGGAGCACAAGGACGACGTGACCATCTTCTTCTCCGACATTGTGGGCTTCACCAACATCAGCGCGCAGCTGACGCCGGCGGCGGTGTCGGACATGCTGGACCGACTGTACTCTGCCTTTGACGAGCTGACGGAGAAGCACGGCGTGTTCAAGGTGGAGACCATTGGCGACGCGTACATGGCGGCAACAAACCTTGTTGAGCCGCAGCACGACCACGCGCTCCGCATTGCGCAGTTTGCGGAGGACGCCATCAAGGCGGCGCAGTCGACGTTCATTGACATGGAGCGGCCGGAGCTCGGGTGCGTGAACATCCGCGTTGGGTTCCACTGCGGCCCTGTTGTGGCCAACGTTGTTGGGCGGCGCAACCCGCGGTACTGCCTGTTTGGGGACACGGTGAACACGGCGTCGCGCATGGAGAGCTCGAGCGAGCGCAACAAGATCCACGTGTCGACGTCTGCGGGGGACCGCGTGCGGAGCCAGGCGCCATGGGTGAAGCTTGAGTCGCGCGGGGTGCAGAACATCAAGGGCAAGGGCGAGATGCTGACATACTGGCTGGTGAGCACGAAGCGGGAGAAGAAGAAGGAGGGCGGGCAGCGGGTGATGATTGCCTCCGAAGAGGCAGAGGTCATCGAGATGCCGAATGAGAGCAAACATCGCGGTGATGGTGACAAGCGCTCAGCTGCCTCTGCTGACAAGCCCACCCTCCCGAGACCCCCGAGCCAGAGCAGCTCGCTGCGAATTGCCTCGCTGGTTTCCTCGAGAGTGTCGCCAACGGGCTCTGATAAGCCATCTCCGAGTCGCGGAAGCAGCCTCAAATCCATGTCACGCAAACTCCCGTCGTCTGGTCCCTCACAGTTGTCACTGAAGGACTCTCCATGGCTTGCAAACCCCGATTCGAGTGAGGCCAACGTCCGACGTCCTCGACGCAACCGAAGTTCCAGCCCACCGTCCCCATCCTTCCAGCGCATGGACCGCCGGGCCACTGCTACTACTGTTCATGTTGAAGACGATGGCCATCATCCCCAGGCAACGTCCTTCCAAGCCTGGGCAGACTCCTCTGTGGACATTTGACCCTTTGTTTTGACTGCTGGGTTCCCTTTGTACGTTGCCGTCTGGGCCCGGGCAGGAGACGCAAGTTCCGTGAATGTGCGTCTGCATTTACACTTGTGTGCTTTCTGCTGACTAACACGAGATGCACCTGTCCTTGAGTGATTGCACTGTGCCCGTTGGTGGTGCAACGCTGCTTAACTTTGCAAGTGCTCGTTCTTTACTTTGTTTTGTTTTGTGTCTTATACATTCCTCGATTTCATTGCTCCCTTCTTGTATTCCTTGCTCAAATGTAACAGTTGCATCAATCAGCTCAAGTAATCGGGTGACATGACAGACAACATACCACGACCAGCACAACTCCAACCCACGTGAAAACTTGTAAATCAACCTCAAACACAGCACAGCCCAACACAAACGTCGGCCTTCCGCCTCCGTTGGGCGTGGCTCTGCATTACGCATCCACATCCTGCATAGTATCTGAGTCGCTGAGTTTCACCTGTCTGCTCCGCGTGCTGGACGCGCTCCTATCAAAGATGGCGCCCGGTGGCGAGCCGAGTAGTTCCTCATCCACATCGTGGTGGTGTGCTGCTGGTGGTGGTGGTGAAGTGATGTAGGTGACTGGTGTGTTCAACACGGTCGTGTGTTGTTGCTGGAACCCGTCACCACCGTGGTCATGAAAAGTGGGGTAGGCGCTGCTAGAGCGATCGCTTGTATTGCTTCGTCTGCTGCCGTTTCGACTCTTCACAAATACGAGGGAGCCTTCTGGTTGTGTAAACACCGTATCTGCGCGGTTTCTGGTGTCGTCAAACTGAAACACCTCGTGTGCTGCATCGTCGATAGCATCATTCTCATCTGTGCACGTGCTGTCGTTGTGAGGGAAACCATCCGCATCGTCCTGCAACACCAGCACGGCCGAGGTGTTGCCGTCAATTGACAAATACTCCCCCTTGCGTCTGATTTCGGTGTGCGTGCGACCGCGACTGTCGTCGAGGTTCAATTCCCCAGCAGTTACAACGCTCACTTGCGCCTTTTCATGGGCGTGCTGTGTAGAGTGCTGCTCGCTTGCTTCATTCATATCGTCCTCATCATCACTGCTGTGGCTGCTGCTGTCGTCATTGTCGCTCTCGGCACTAAAGTTTGCCTCCTCTTGGCGATGACCATCAGCGCTGGCATCACGCATATCGCCTCCTTCTTCAGGAAGCGCATATGCACCTGCAGCGGCAATCTTCCCCGACGTCTGTCTGGTGAACGTGGTTGTTGCGATCCCAACGTCGTCATCAATGACACCACTGCTGTGACCGTGGAGGTTTGCGGCATGTGGTAGTGGCGCAGTTACGTCCAGCATCTCAACATCACCGTCTTCTTGGCTCGTCTGGTCGATGCTGACGCTGCTGTGTTTGCCCACGTGCCCACCCCTGGTGCCCCATGCCTGCATGCGTTGTGGCTCATCCACATTGGTCTCCGCGACGATTCGCATGAGAGGGACAGGAAGACACGAACGCGGTGTCTCGTAGTGGTGGATGAGTTGCGCCAGATTCTGTACCGAGCAAATGGTAAATGTGAGCAGCAGCGTTTGGCGTGTGTTGAGGTGTGAAGATGACGGATGTGTGTGTTGAAGGGAGAGTGAGTGAGTGAGTGTGTATGTATGTGTGTGAGTGTGTGTGTGTGTGTTGAAGGACATGCAATTGGTGTTACAATGTCAGCAACAGGTACCCAAGGTGAAAGTTGCAGACCACATTGCAGATCTCCAACACAACGCACACTCGCGCACGCACACGCATGCACACACACACACACACACACACACACACACACACACACACACACACACACACACACACAACACCTTACTTGGAAGAGGGGCTGCGTGGTGTTGTCATCTGTTTGGAGTTGGAACTTTCCCTTCCGCCCGCGAAGAATATCGTACTGCCTGCATTCCGTCTGCGTCGCCTTGAGAAAGAGGCGGTGCTGCTGGCCGTCGTCATGCACGATAAACGAGCCAACGGCCTGCCCAAACAACTCCGCGTACACAGACCCGGTCGTGACTGCGCTGTTGCGCATGTTCAGAAGCGGCAACTCTGGTGCGCTGCTCACATGTGCTGTCGCTGCTTTGAATCCACTTGAGTTTGCTGTGTGGAACGTGGCGCTTGCAAAGTCGGAACTGGTCTGTCTCCGTCGTAGACACATGTACCACACTGCCAGCACGGCGATGAGCAGAAGAATAGTGGCAAAGCCAGCAGCTGCAAGGATGAACCCAAGCCGCGAAAGCCCAAGTTTGCTGCGGATGCTCGTGTCTCGGGTGGGCGTGACACCATCTGCAGTTGCTGTTGTTGCTGTTGCTGCTGTCGTCGTCGTCGTCGTCGTTGTTGTTGTTGTCGTTGTTGTCGTTGTTGTTGTTGTTGTTGTTGTTGTTGTTGTTGTTGTTGTTGTTGTTGTTGTTGTTGTTGTTGTTGTTGTTGTTGTTGTTGTTGTTGTTGTTGTCGTGAGATGTGATGTGGAAGACGAGGTCGGTTGCGGTGTGACAGACTCGGCATCCCGTGGGGAAAAAGTGATGGTGAGAGGTGTAATACTTGTCAGCCCACCGCCGTCAACAGCAACCACCGTGAACGAGACAAACGCTTGCACGTCAAGCAGTGACGATGCGTTGAAACTGAGAACACGGCCACCGTCACCATCACCACCACCACCATCACCACCACCATCACTTGTGACATTGTCGTGCGTGATGACAGCATCGACGGCGTGGAGCGAGGTGCACTGGAAGACGTCACCAGGGTGGGTCCCATTACCGCCGGTGCTGCTGTCAGCACTCGTTGCCGGAGCACTGCTGCCATCAACGCTCTGATCAGCAGCGTTGGTGCTTGCATTGCTGCAATGGAGGACTGAGAGCAACACCACAGACACGTCCTTCCACGGACTGCACATGTCTGCATCCGTCACTGCTGGCAGCGATACTGTGACAGCAGCAGCGGATGCATTGGCTGGGACTGCGGCCACGATGTGTGCCGTGTTGAATGCGGGCGCCTCATTGACATCAAGCACATGCACAACGTGCGAGAACGACACGTTGGATGGAAAGCCATCGTGAATCATGGCATTGTCGCTGTCGCCGCCGACTGCACTACCACCACCACCATCATCATCATCGCCACCACCACCACCTCTGCCATCACCAGCAACGACGCTCATATTTGAGTTTGTGGTGCCAGGGCTGCCTCGCCAGTCAACAGCGATGGTCACGGGTAATGCTGGTGATGCTTCAAAATCAAGCGGGTGGCGTGCCATGAGCGTGTTGTTGCTGTCGATTGCAAACTGTCCAGCTGCTGCTGCTGTTGCCGATGTTGTTGTCACGCGTGCGGTGTTGTCTCTGAATGGTGCGTGGAGATCCTCATCCAGCAGCAGCACGTGAGCAACCGGGGTCGGGTCGGTGTGAGTGGATAGTGTGTGCTCTGCAACAAAAGCACGGCTGAGGACGGTCGCGTATGGTGGCTCGTTGACATCGCGCACGCGCACCGTGTGCGGAATGATGTAGGAAGCACCCCTGGCAGACACGTTGGCGTAAAGCGAGAAGCGCCCATGTGGCAGCATCTCATAGTCAACGCCACTGCACACCACGTCCACCTCGCAAGTGTGCTCCTTGAGCAAGTGTGGATCATAGTAGTTGCTGGTGGCTGTCGTGCTGGTTGGCGTGACGGCTGTCACCTGTGCTATGCTTGTGGATGTTGTGAATGGCATACTCGTGGTGCTCGTGACAAACTCGCCCGAACCACTGCCCTGTGCATCCCCGTTGTCTGCACTCGATTCACTGCCTTGCATCTGCTCACATCGAATTGTTAGAGCAGTGCACGTGGGACCTCCAGGCGTTTCGGGGAACACGCCCACCTGCACATGCGCGGGCGATGTTGTTGTTGTTGTTGTTGTTGTTGTTGTTGTTGTTGTTGTTGTTGTTGTTGTTGTTGTTGTTGTTGTTGTTGTTCGTGTCGTGTGTGAAGCAGCAGTGGCGTCAGGCAAGCGTACTGTGACTGCCAGGCTGAGCACATGCTGCACCGTTTCTGCTGTTGTGTTAACGCTGCCGCTGCCGCTGCTGCTGGTTGTGGTGGTGTTTCGCTGGTGAAAGCGAGAGGTGGTCTCCGTGATGTTGTGCACGCGATCTCGAATCGACACCACCAGGGGCACCTCCGTGCTGACCACCTGCATCTCCAGTGTTTGTCGTGCGCACGTGTGCACGTGTTGTGCAGCTGTTGAGAACGGAAACGACGTTGCCGTGGTTGTTGTCGTGGTGGTGGCAGTGGTGGCGGCGGTGGTGGGTGTCGATGCCGTTGTTGCTGTTGCTGTCGCGGGAGTGGCTGACGTTGCCGGGGTGTGAGTGTGAGATGCTGTGCTGTTCCATGTCGGAGGTGTCGACAGAGGTGTGGATGCAGGTAGCGTGGTGAAAGGTGGGGATGATAACGGCGATGGTGCCGTGCTGCCAGAAGAGGCGGAGCAGCACCGAAAGGTGAGGGCAACAAACGGGTACAAGGCTGCTTTGAGGGTTGTGTTTGAGTTGACAACAAGGACGTTGCCTTCCAGCCGAAAAGGGCTCACGTGCTGCACAAATGGAAAGACACCACCACCGCTGCCGCTGCCACTGCCACTGCCACTGCCACTGCCGCTGCTGTCGCTGTCGTCGACGCTTTCACTGTCACTGCTAAGCATTGTTGGCACTGTGTCCACGTACTGGCCGTCTGTGTCAATCAACTGTGTGCGTGTGAGGGTGCACTGATGGTGTGCGCCTGCCCTGGAGCTTGTCGTGACATCATCAGCAGTGCGGGTGAACGCTGGCAGCAACGCTGCGACGACTGTACCGGGTTCTGCGTGAGCATCGGAGATGGTGTTGGGTACAATGGCCACTTGTGGCGCCGGAATAGGCTCCCACTCCACGATAACGCGCACATGGCAGAAAGCAGCCAGCCTCTGTGCGCTGCTGCTGCTGCTGCTGCTGCTGCTGCTGTCGCTGCTACTACAAGTAGTGCTGCTGGTGGTGGTGGTGTTGGAATCACTAACAGTGCTGAGGTCGATGGTGTGTGGTTCTGAGGAGAGCCGCACAACAAGGTCGTGGGTGGACAGGTGTGGCGGTGACTCGAGTGATTGCAGCAGCACGATGTTGCCGTGTTCATCGACATCAAACACAGGCGGTGTGCTGGTGCTGTTGCTGCTGTCGCCGGTGCTGGCGGGCATAAGGTGGTTGTCCGGTATGATGGAGAGGAGGCTGCGCTGGCCGAGTGAGCCGCCCATAATCTCCACCGCAGCCACCATAGACCCGATTGGGGCTGCCGAGCTAACATACACGGTGCTTGGCAGGGTGCATGTGGGCGCAGCTGCGGACTGCGACACGATCGTGATGGGAAGTAGTGTTGTTGCAGCGTGTGCAAACGGGTCGTCGCGATAGCGATGGTGTGCTGTGACGGTCACGTTGAGCAGCGTTCCGACCGGCAAGAACAGCGGCGCCCGCGCTAAGATGACTTCGCCCTCGCTCTGGTCGATGTGAAATAGGGGTTCAACCAGCGCCCCTTGATGCATGAACGTGGCAGGAGGGTGCGCTGCAACTGTTACGTTGACTGCATACGTCATGTTGGCGCTGATCCCTGTCGTGCGATGCACAGCGGCCACGCGGAACATGTGCGTGTTGGCGGCCGCTGTCTGGGCCAGCCGTAGCGGCGCCGTGACATTTGGGGTTGGGGCCACGAAGACGGGGACATGTGAATCTTCGACAGCAGACACCAACAGCGCTGGTCTGGCCTGCAACAGGCGTTGGAAGGGGGGGGCAGGGATTGTTAAGTGCATGCACGCAGCCAAGGCAAGTGAGACACCGGGAAGGACAGGTACACGACGGTTGTTTGACGAAGAAGGCTGAAGCAAGACAGAAGGCCCCGTTGCATGTGTGTGTGTAGTACGTCGGCTGACGGTTGGATTGATTCTACATCGTGTTGTTCCATCGCTGCGAGCAACAAGCCAAAGCACATGCAGGACTCACCTCGAACCACGACGATTGGACTGTGAGCACTAGCAGAAGCCCCAGTGTGTACTGCCACAGCAGTTGTTTCTGCCTTGATGAGCGTGGCGCAGCCCGCACCCGATTTGACAAGCCCATGGAGCGATGTGACCTTGTTGGTTGTGCGTGATGACTTTGTGTGCGAGCCATCGAACTGGCGCAGATCTCTGGATCTCTGCTGCACTGCGCTGCTCTGAGAAGGAAGTTGAGTGAATGAGAAGGCTGGGTGAGACAGGTGCATCTGCTCTGATGCCCTGTCGTTGCGTGCTTGTGTCGCGTGCTGGCCCTTGTCTGCGCGCCCCCTCCCCGTGTCTTCTTGGGTTGTTGTGTTTGCCTTGGCCAGAGCAAGAAGCGAGCAGCTGCTACCACAACAAATGCAGGAGACAGGAAGGCGGAGGGTGTACATGAAAATTATGTACATTTTACACAAATCCTCCACAACCGCATTGCGAGGACGAGCAAGTGCGAGCGAGCGAGAGGTGTGTGAATGCGCACGCCTCCAACTCCCTGCTGCACTGCGCTGCGACTGGCTGTCATTGCTCGGATTCTTCCTCGTCAACTTAGCCTTCAGGCTTGTAACTCACGCACACGCACTCGCCATTACCCGTGTTGTCGATTTGCATGCACCCGCGCACGCACTGCTGTGACAGGTGATCAGGAACGCCGCAACAACAGCACACGCACAGGCACATCATAGACACACAACGCGGAGATGGACTTTCAGAACCGTGTGGGCAGCAAGTTTGGCGGCGGCGGGCCGGCCTCCTTCTCGGAGTCCAACCGCCAACGCAAAGAGCGTCTCATGGCTTTGGCCATGGAGACCATCGATCTGGCCAAGGTATCAGCTGCGTCGCCTCTGCGTTTCAGTTTTGCGTGCTTTGGCATGCATGGTTTGCGTAGCTGCGCAATGTGCGTGGATGCTTGTACGTGTGTGTGCGTGCGTATGTGTATGTGTGTGCGTGTGTGTATGTGTGTGTATGTTCATGTATGTGTGTGTATGTTCATGTGTGGAGATGTGAACGAATGAATACGCCACGGTGTCTGTGTGACGTGGCCTCGATGTCCTTGTTTGCTGTCAACACCTCACATGCACACACACACGCTCGCACACACACACACATACACACACACGCACACACGCACACACGCGCACACACGCGCACACGCATACACACACACGCACACACGCACACACGCGCACACACACAGGATCCGTACTTTATGAAGAACCACTTGGGCAAGTACGAGTGCAAGCTTTGCTTGACTCTGCACAATAATGAGGGAAGCTACCTCGCCCACACACAAGGCAAACGCCACCAGGAGAACCTGTAAGTGTTGACACGTGGTGATTGCAACGGCGCTAGCAGTGCTTTGCGTGTGCGGGAGGAATGGAGATTGATCCTGACTCCAAACGACGTTGACCATCTCTGCCTCCACTTCTCCATCTACACCATTGCCACAGGCGGATACGCGCAATCAAGGAAGCGAAGGACACACCCACCATGAAGCCGGTGCGTGCGTATGCTTGTATTGCTTCATGTCTGAACGGGTTGTGACCGTGCATGGGCACCAGTCTGAGCTCGCACTGCAGTGGTCGAAGTGGCTGTCATGTGACTGCTTGCCCTTTTGCTCACACCACATGTGTGTTGTGATGTGATACATCATGTGCACGCGACAGGATATGCCCCAGGTGGAGATTAAGAAGTTCTTGAAAGTTGGTCGCCCCGGCTACAAAGGTGCGTGACCATCAATTGCGGTGTCGCGTGCTCGTGCACGTGGCAACAATCATAGCGATGGTGGTGGTAGTGGTTTGCTTTCGCCACCAAACAGACAGCAGCTGCCATCACTGTCTTGCCTCGCAATCCACCCACTACTTGCTATCCCATCCCCATCATCCCTCTTCCAATATGCTCATTGCACCCGCGTACGTGTGACTGTCCTACTGCTGCTGTGCTGTTTGTGTTTGTTGTTTGCAGTGACGAAACAGCGTGACCCTGCCACGGGCCAATACAGCCTCTTCTTCCAGGTGAGACATCGTGTCGACGGCTTGGCAGGGCGAGAGTTCCAGTACGCTTCAACATTCAGCAATTCAGTCGTGTGTGTGTGAGTGTGTGAGAGAGTGTGTGAGTGTGTGCGAGAGAGAGAGAGAGTGTGTGTGTGTGTGAGAGAGAGAGTGTGTGTGTGTGTGAGAGAGAGTGAGAGAGAGAGAGTGAGAGACAGAGACTGTTAGTGTCAGCGACATGGCCTCAAAATACACACACATCAGATTGATTCATCCCTTGTCTTCGTGTGTACGTGCATGTGTGCATGCGTGCATGTGTGTGTGCGTGCGTGTGAAGATTGACTATCCCGAGATTGCGGAGGACGTGCTGCCGCGCCACCGGTTCATGTCCGCATATGAACAGCGCGTGGAGGCCCCCGACAGCAACTTTCAGTTTATCGTCTTTGCAGCAGAGCCTTACGAGACCATCGCCTTCAAGGTACGTGTGTGTTTGCTTGTTTGTGTGTTTGTGTGTTTGTGTGTTTGATTGTTTGTTTGTTAGGTTGTGCGTGCGTGCGTGTTCAATATGAGACGTCCCTCCCCTCCTCCACTTCGTGTATGTCGCAAGCACCTTCAATCCCACCTCCTCACACTCGCCTCCCCATCCCACCTCCTCACACCATCTGCCCCCTCTGGAACGTCAGATTCCGAGTTCTGAGATTGACCAGGCGCCGGGCAAGTTGTGGACGCGCTGGAACCCGAGCACGAAGCAGTTTTTTCTGCAGTTCCACTTCAAGACCGAACGCGTACGCGCTACTGTGGATGGGGAGGGGGTGCTCACACACACACACAGACACACACGCACACGCACAGACACACACGCACACGCACAGACACACACGCACACGCACAGACACACACGCACACGCACAGACACACACACATGCACGCACACACACACACACACCCTCTCTCTCTCTCTCTCTATGTTGGGAGGGGAGATGTTGCTGCTTGTATTGTACGTTCCCTACTCCTGATGGTTCTCACGCGCATCTCTTTGATAACCCTTCAAATATCTTCCTCTGCGTGTGCAGGTCCCCGAATATGCGCCAAAACCCTTGCAAGCGGCATTCCAGCCCCAACCATTCTAACCACACACACACACACACACTCACACTCACACTCACACACACACACACACACACACACTCTCTCTCTCTCTCTCCCTCCCTCTCTCTCTCTCTCTTGAACAAGCACCGCCATACATGTGTGTGTGTGTGATTGCCTGCATTGTATCCCACTTGTATCGCTTCCGTCGTCCTTGCTTCTGCGTTGTTCTCTCTCGCCCTGTTTCAGTCTGAAGTACACAGATACACGACAGATGCCAGCCATGTGTCGATCACACGCTGCTTCACAATCATCAAGCAGTCTGCAATGCATACGCCAGCGACACACACACACACACACACACACACACACACACACACACTGGCAGAGAGTCAGTCAAACAAGCACAAACAACCCCTCTTCCCCCCCCCCCCCCAACCACAACCCCTATGCCGGGTCCAAGAACTGCACAACGCGTGTGGGAAAGAGGCGGATCAGGCGCGTGCGCACAGCGAGTGCCAGCGGCAGTGATGATGCAACTGCGAGACCCGTCTTCTGCTCTCCATTGCACAGGCTTGGGTCGGCGCCAGCGGACACGAGCAGCTCCGTCGCCCGCCAATCCCCCTTGCGCAGCGCGTGATGCAGTGGGGTGTCCCCATGCCGGTCCGCCTGGTTGACGCGACAGCCCTCTGTTGACAGAAGCGTGCGCATGGCGTCGTGGTAGCCGAGACGGCTGGCGATGGCCAGCGCGGTCTCCAGCTTGGAGCCGGCCTCATATGACGGTGGCGCGGTGCTCTCTGCTGTGGGCTGGTTCACGTCTGCACCGGCATCCAGCAGCTGCTGCAACACGTTGGCGTTGCCGTAGCCAGCGGCCTTGTGAAGCGGGTACAGGCCAAACATGTCGCAGGACTGGTCTGGGTGCATCTTCACGTCGTGCAGCAGGTACTGCACCACAAACACCTGGTCCTTCCAGCTGGCGTGCTCCAGAAGCGTCAGCCCGTGCTGGTCGACAGCGCGCGCGTCTGCGCCCTCGCGGAGCAGAAATTTGAGCGCCTGCAGCTTGCCCAATCCCGCAGCGAGCATGGATAGGGACCGGCCAATGGAGTCGCGCAGCTCCACATCACCGCCCGACAGATGCTTGGCCTCCCTCACCAGCTCCTTGAAGTCCTGCAGCCGGTTGCCGCGCAGAGCAGCCGTTGCGGCGACTCGGATGCGCTCCAGGTCCTCGGCCGTGGACAATGCGGGCGCACGTGTGCCATCACGGCTGAGGTCCTCGCTGGTGCCACACGCATCCTCTTCTTCTTTTGTCGTTGTCGAACCGAACATGAGCCCCGTCCAGAGGCCCAGCATCATCAGGCTTGTTGTGGCTGTGTTTGAGGTCTTGTTGCGCCCAGCGGCGTTGTGAGTCCAACTCCAGCCACCGCTGCGCGTGGTCTGTGCAGGCAGCAGTGCCTGCTGCCCTCTGGTGCGTTCTTGACCACCACGGCTGCTCAGCCACACATAACTACTGCTTGCCGACACGGCAGTGGCCACTGCTCGTCTCCTCGCCGCGGCTGCCACCACCCCGCGCCCAACACCAACAGCAGCAGCGGCACCAACAGCAGCAGAACGACCAACAAGCGTCATCATCAACGTCGGCATCGTTGGTAATTGTCGAATTTTATGGATGCTATGACGAAAATTCAAGGAAGGACTCAACATTGCAGCCCAGCATGCAAAACAAGATCGAGAGAAGCAAGCGCGGATAGGCATACACACACACACACACAGACACACAGACACACACAGACAGACACACACACACACACACAGACACACACACACACACACAGACACAGACACAGACACACACACAAGCTAACGGGTAGGTGTCTCGATTAGGCGGAGAGGGCGAGGCGGCGGCGGGCAGAGAGGAAGGAGGGGAGGTTCCACTTGGAGTGCGTGAGCATGTGTGGGCCGTTGTAAACACACAGCACGGTCATGGCCGGGTTGTATGGGAGATCTGGCAGCAGCTTCGGCGTGATGAGGAAGTACTGCGACGACTCCGACGTGGACGAGTTGACAACCTGCTCAAACACGCGCTTCTCGTTTGTCGCGTCCATGCCCTGGTTGATCTCATCCACCACGCGGAATGGGCACTGCGTATGTGTGTGTGTGAGCGTGTGTGCGTATGTGTGTGTGTGATCTTTGGTGTGGATATGCAAGAAAATATCAGGCGACAGCATGTCTGACACAGACAGAGAGAGACAGAGAGGCAGAGAGAGAGAGACAGACAGACAGACAGACAGACAGACGGAGAGACAGAGAGAGAGATAGATAGATAGATGGATAGATAGATAGATAGACACACACACACACACACACACACACACACACACACAGAAACACACAGCTTACCCGTGTGAGGCGCTGGAGGGACATGAGGTAGAGCATGGTAGAGACGGAGCGCTCGCCGCCAGATTGGTGGTGGGCGCGCAGCGGCTGCAGGGCCTCGTCCTTGCGGAAGCTCACGCTGATCTCAATGCCCCAATCCTCGTAGTTCTGGCGCGGATCAAGGGGGCAAGGGGGGGGGGGCAAGGGGATTGGGGTTTACCGGGCGGGGGTGAAGGAAGGGCATTGTTAAGTGTTGGTGAGGGCGTTAGGAGGTTGGTGGAAAGGAAGGAGGGGAATGCACGGCAAGAAGGTAAAGCAAGGGAAACCATGCGAGGTCAAGTGGGGCCTGCACACACACACACACACACACACACACACACACACACACACACACACACACACACACACACACACACACACAGTCATGGGCAAGGCAGGTGGAAGGAGTGAGCTGCCCACGCACAAGCTTCTTCAGTTCCGCCTTCCACTGCTTGGCGACGGCGGCCATTTCAGCGTTGAAGCCCTTCAACTTCTCCTGCACCTCGCGCAACTGCCCATGGAACACAATCACAAGAACAAGTGCGTGGTGTGTGAGTGAGTGTGTGTGTGAGTGAGTGTGTGTCAAGGAATTCGAGAGGGAAGAAAATGGCAGGGAAGCAAGGCAGGAAAAAAAAAACATGAGACACAATCCATTCCCATGAAATAGGAGTCATCATTTGTTCCAGCATGCACGGTTACCAGGCCGCACCTCGCCCTTGTGTTGTTCGAGCCGCTTCAGGGCGCTCTCAAATGCGTCGACGGCACTCGCGTTTGCGGGCGCAATCACGTGCATCTGAAGTGGCCATCATCCATGGTGAGCTGGCAGTGGTTTGGTGGCGGGTTGAATGGAGCAGTGAAACACCCCACTACACCACAACAGCAGTAGCAGCAGCAGTGACACAGTGACAGAGGCAACACCAGCAGCGACAGCAGACCTGTGCTTGCAGGTCGGCCTTGGCGGCCTCGAGACCCGGGATTGTCTTGGCCAGACCCGCAAACTCCTGCTTCTGCTCCTCAGTCAGCATGCTGTTGTCGTTGTTGGCCCGGGCAGCCTGAAATGCATGATGCAAGCGCATAATATGTGCGTGTTTGTGTGTGAGCGAGGCGGGATGCGGCAAACACGCACCAATGACACGCGACACAGAGAGAGAGAGAGAGAGAAACAAAGAAAGAGAGAGAAAGAGTATGTGTGTGTGTGTGTGTGTGTGCGTGCGTGCGTATTTCTCAAGTGGACGGGGGGCATGACCTAGAGTTTGTGTTTTGCCTCTGCCTTGAGGCACTTCACGTCGTCCTTGAGCTGCTTGACGACGTGCGCATGTGCGCGCAGAGAGTCCTCCTCTTCCTCCGGCGCCCGGGTGTTCACGTGCACCTGCACACAAACACACACACACACACACACACACACACACACACACACACGGATATGTTGTGAGCAGAGTCGGAGAGCAAGGGACCTTCATCAGACATGATGTCAACTGTGCTCAAACCTCCCACAAACACGGCACTGATTGTGCGACCACCACCACCATCACCACCATCACCACCACCACCACCACGGTAAGTTCGCACAGCAGTCCCCACCGTCGCTTCCGCGCGGTCGAGGTTGAGTTGCAGCACCGTCAGCACATCCATCTTGCCAACCTGCACGCGCACACACAAAATGATTAAACAAGTGCCGAGTGCGGGCGGAAGCGTTGGTTGAGAAATTTAGTTGGACATGGTATTGCGTCGTGGTAGAAACAAACGAAAGCGGGAGGGGGGCGAACATACATACACGACAGGATACACACACACACGCACGCACGCACGACATGACACACACACACACACGCACGCACACACACACACACACCACACACACACACACACACACAAACACACAAACACAGAGCGCAGTACACCGCAACACAAAGCACAAGCCAACAATGCATGTGTGCTGTGTGGACGTACGAGTTTCTGTGCGGTGTCCTCGATCTCGCGCCAGTAGGAGCCGGATGACGCAATCAAATCCGCCATCTCCTTCTGCACGACTTCCTTCTTCACCTGGACGACGGGCCAAGTGTGTGTGTGTGTGTGTGTGTGTGTGTGTGCGAGGGATGGCGCAATCAACCGATTCAGAACGTCGAGCCGAACAGCTACATTAAACCGTAAACGCACTGACACAAACAAACGAACAAACGAACAAACAACAAACAAACAAAGGAACAAACAAACGAACGAACAAACGAACAAACGAACAAACAACGAACAAACAAACGAACAAACAAACGAACAAACAAAACTGTCCACGTCAATCCACCACTTCGCACCTGCAGCTGGTGCAGCTGGTTGTTGTATGCTTCGCGTGATGTTTCATAGCGCTTGATTTTTCCGGACAGGTCCACGACCTTGTGACGCTCCTCCTGCAAGGCGGCGATGCGCTGCGAGAACTGGCTCTTCTCCTCCTCAATCTCCTGCAACGCGTTGAATGGGCGCAGCAGCACAGTCGCGCGCGTGTGTGTGTGGGGGGGGGGGCGGAGGTATGAGACATGTGTGCGCGCGCGTGTGTGCGTGTGTGTGCGTGTGCGTGTGCGTGTGTGTGTGTGTGTGTGTGTGGCGGCTCAAGGCAGTTGCATTTGGAGTTGAAGTATGTCACTTCAAGGGTGTTTGAGAACAGGTATCCACTTGTGCCCGAACACGTTGACTCACAGCTGCGCGCGCTTCAAGCTGCTGCAGCTGCTGTTGGGAGGTCTCAATCTCCTCCTCCAAACGCCGAATTTCGCTGATCAGCGGTGATGGGAAGTGTGGTGATCACGACGACGGCGATGACGACAATGATGATGATGAGCAGACCAAAGGGATGGGTGAGGAAAGGGGGGTGCTGATCAGCAATGCATCATGCACATAAGCAGCCACACGCGCAGGCAGAGGGGGAGAAGCAAGCACGAACACAACTTCTTCTGGAACAGAACCACATTTTGCGGGAACACAACAAGTGGAGACAGTGCTAAAAACAACACACACACACACACACACAGCCACACAATCACACACACACACAGTCACACAATCACACGCGCCGCGGGTGCGCTGACCCGATGAGGTGCTGCCTGCGATCGGTGTCGACGGAGAGGGCGAGCAGCTGGGCCGGCTTCACCTCATCGAGCCGCATCTGCAGGACACGGCCCGGGGGGGATGGCAGGCATGGACGTGAATGAGGAAAGGGGGAGATGAGTTGATGGGGAGTGAGAGATTGGACAAAAATTGTGCGTGTGTATGTGTGTGCGCGTGTGTGTGCGGGCGAAGGAGGTCCACGTGAGCGGCAGGACACCACTCATCACCACCACCTCAACTCGCCACCACCGCCACTGATCATCCTCATCATCGTCATCGCCATCATCGTCGTCATCGCCATCATGGTACAAGGACCGCACCGCATCTGCGCGGCGGTCGAAGCGGGACGACATGACGCGGTAGCCCGTTGTGCCAATGAAGAACGACTTGAAACCTTTTCCCCCGCACGCAGTGGCGATGGCAGCAATGTCATGGGTGTGTTGGTGTTGGTGGTGTTGTCGTGTGGTTGTGAGATGGGGGGAATGTGTGAAAGGCAACGAACGTCACCATTGACAGCGACACAAAAGGCAAAGCAATGCATGCAACAAGCAATCATCATCCTCACCAACACGCAATCATCATCCTCACCAACAAGCAATCATCATCCTCACCAACAAGCAATCATCATCCTCACCAACAAGCCATAACACCATCACCGCACCTCGTTCCTTGAGCCCATCTGCAATGTCGCGCGATTTGCGGCGGACATACGGCGTCTGGTGCAAATACAACTGCACACGATAGCGATGCAGGCGGCGATGCCCGGGGGGGGGGTGTGCAAGTCAGAACGGAAAAGACATGGGGAAGACAAGGTGGAGCAATCAGCTTGCCATGCATCATCCCACAGCAGATCATTACCGCCACAGCAACCACCACCACCACCACCACCACCACCACCACCACCACCACCACCACCACCACCGACGGCAGCATGTCTTGCTAATGGCCGTGACTCTTCCAACGCACCACTTTGGCGAGGTAGACCTTGACGCGATCCGGGGCGTCCACGGCATCCAGGAGGAAGCCGTCAATCCCAAAGTGCTGCGCTTCCTCCGGCGTCAGCGGCGCCGAGATGCTGGACAAATCATCCGGTGGGATCCGGACAACGTTGATGGGGAACCCGCGCTGTTTGCGCAGCGTGGACACCAGCATCTGCACACGCATGAGGTAGAGCGGTGTGTGGTAAGCGAGTTGATCTAGAGGGGGAGGGAAGGGGCGCTTCAAACGGAGGAATGCAATGCAAAGAACGCACGCAGATTCAGACACAGACGCAGACACACAGACACAGACGCAGACACACAGACACACAGACACAGACACAGACACACACACAAGCACAAGCACACACACGCACAAACACAAGAACAGGAACGCACCCGCTGGTCGTCTTCGCACTGGCAGAGGAAGGCGATACGGTCGCGGCCGGGGATGCTGTGCTCCACCAGCGCAGCAACATCAGACTGCTGCACGTTGATGTTCAGCACAAGCGGTGGGAACACGCGCATGCGGAACCTGCAGCATTGTGTGGGTGTGTTATTGTATATTTGGGTGTGTCGTGATGCGGTCGTTGATGTGAGGCAATATATGCAGGCGTGCATTGCTTCGTCTGCTGTGGTGTTGGTTGTTCGCTTGCTCGCTTGCTCCAAGCACACGCGTGGTTGTTTTCGCATGCACACATTGGTGCACCCACCCGTCGCTTCTGCCGGCCTCAAGTCGCCTGCAACACACACACACACACACACACACACACACACACACACACACACACACACACACACACACACACACACACACACACAGATGCCATGTCAATACCACGCGCGTCAAACAAGTGAAAAGAGGCGCAAAGAGCCACGTGCTGCACGGCATAACAGTCACACGCAACACACACACACACACACACTCACGAAACACACGCGACACACGCACGCACGCACGCACGCACTTGTTCATATCGTTGATCCAGGCGATTGCATCACGCATCCACCCGTTGCGCTGCTCCAGTGCAGCCTGCTTCCTCTTCTGCGCATTCTCCGCTTCCTACACACGGGCACATGTGTGCATGTGTGAGGAACCATGGTGGAGGTGGTGGTGGTGGTGGTGGTGACACCGTTAGCACACGCGAAGCACGGGGCATGACGCTGTTTGGCTAGTGGTTGCATGTGTGTTTGTTTGTTTGTTTGTTTGTTTGTTTGTTTGTTTGTTTGTTTGTTTGTTTGTTTGTTTGTTTGTTTGTTTGTTTGTTTGTTTGTTTGTTTGTTTGTTTGTTTGTTTGTTTGTTTGTTTGTTTGTTTGTTTGTGTGTGTGTGTGTGTGTGGAGACCTGAATGGCGTTCTTGTGCTTCTGAATGGCGCGTGTGCGACCCTGTATCGAAGCCTGCAGAAATGGCAAAGCCAGTGATGAGCAATGCGTCAGCTTGAAGCAGTTCAACAGACACCCCTCCCCCCACATGCTGGCTCACACATTTGAACACACACGCACACACACTTGCATGAATGGCAGGCGACATGCCATGGCGGTACACCTGTGCCTGTGGTTGGACGCACCTGAAGGTCTTGTGTCTCATCGCGAATGGCGTCAAGCTGCGGTGTAAACTCGTTCTCCCTGTGCCGCATCTCTCGCAGGTCCGCCTGCACAAACGCACACACACACACACACGCACACACGCACACGCACGCACACGCACGCACACGAAAAGGAGAGAAAAGGGGCAGGGAGGGTGAGCAATACAGTGTCAGTGTGACCATTGGGACTGCTTGTACTGCAACCACAACCAACACATCCATGCACCCATGCACACATGAGCACACGCGCGCACATCGCGATTTGTGTTCGCTCCTACACACCACCACCACCACCACCACCACCACCATCATCACCACCACCAGCGTCACCATCACCTGGATCTGCTGCATGTCGCGCTGGCCGGAGAGGCGGGCCGTCAGCTCCGCAATTTTGCGCTCGCAGTTCATCCCCCTGATGAGGGTTGTTGCGGCGGTGGTGACAGTGGTGATGGTGGTGATGACAGCGGGTGGTGAGGGTGGTAGTGTCGTGAGGATGCTGGATGGCGGCAGTGTCGTGAGAATTGGAGGAGCGGCACATGACGCGAAATGCCTGCAAGCAGTGACGCATGGTTCAAAACACCGAAGCACACGGGCGCGCGAGGACGCACTTGTCTTGGGCTTTTCTCGTCTCATTTGTCAACTCGCCCAAGCGAATGTCCACATTCAGCAAACTGCACACCGTCCGACCGGAGGAGGAGGTGGTGGTGGCGGCGGAGGAGTTGGAGAGTGTTGTGCATTCATACAAGCATGTGTTGGTGAGGAAACAATTCATCATAATGAAGGCACGCAAGCACACACAAACACACACACACACACACACACACACAAGTACATGCGGGCGTGCGGAGACCACGGCACCTGGAGCTAAAGTCGGCCGCCTGGGTCTGCAACTTGTTGAGCCGCCGCTGCAGCTTTCCAATGTTCGGTTTCTGCGCACAAACATGGAGTAATTGTTTGAGGGTGTGCGTGTGTTGTGTGTATGTGTGTATGTGTGTGAGTGAGTGCGAGTGTTGTGTGTGTTTAGGTATAACATTGAATGAGTGCAAATTGTCATCAGCAGCATCGCAACAAACACCCGGCAAAGTGTTGCCTGCAAGCACGACTGACCACGCCGCTCAAGTTCTTCTCCTTCTGCGCTTTGTCCTTCTCGGCCTTCTCAACTGCTTTGCGGAAGGGTTGCAGTTGTTTCTGCCAAAGTGTGTGCATGAATGTGTGTGTGTGTGTGTGCATGTGTGCATGCATGCATGTGTGTAAATGGTTCCTGTTCGTTGTCGCGTACGCGCTCAATCATTCGCTCAATTTGCATCATACACACACACACACACACACACACACACACACACACACACACACACACACACACACACACACACACACACACACACACAAAAGTACACACAAAAGCACACGCGCGTTGTGGCGGGGCTGCACCTTGGAGTGGTTGAACGCCTCCTCTGCCTTTGTCAGCTCCTCCTTCCTGAACCACATCACTCACCGCGCGCTGCGTGTCAACAAGGAGTTCCTGCGGGGTCTTCTTGGCAAAAGCGGACACTTTGTCCTGCGGCAGAAACTGGCACAGGTTGTCAATCTGGATGCCTTGTTTGGCCACTGTTTCCCGGACCTGCACAGGCACATGTGTATAAGTGTACATGTCGAGAAAGAAAAGGAGCATGGACATGTTGCAGACATGCAGACAAGTGGGCCCACGAGCACGTACATGCACGTGTGCAAGCAAGCAGCCGCCATAACAGTGAGCAAACAGCTACCACCACCACCAGCGGCAGTGGTGCCCAGGTTGCATCAACACAACATCGCATGCTGCCGCCACCACAACCGGTGTCCACACACGTTCTGCTCTGTGGTTGGCTTTCCGTTGATGTAGAATGCGTTTTGGTTTCCTTTCTTGATCACCCGCCGCACCACCATGTTCTGACCGCTGCTCTGGAACCTGCAGCAAAACCAAAAGACCAAGACGGGCGGTGTTTGCACGGTCGCATGCACGAGCATTAGTGTGTGTGTGGTGTGTGTGTGTGTGTGTGTGTGTGTGTGTGTGTGTGTGTGTGTGTGTGTGTGTGTGTGTGTGTGTGTGTGTGTGTGTGTTGGACATGGGGGGGGGGAGGAGCGCATGAGAGAATGGAAGCAGATCGAACGCGGAGGAACATGTGCAGGAGTGTGCAACTTGGCATATGCCCTTGTGTGCTGGCTGTGCTACTTACAGCTCAACCTCGATGGTGGCTGAGTTGGCGCCGGTTCGAATGAACGCAGCAGCCTGAGGCAGTGCCGTGTGATGCAAGGCAAACACATGTGAGCGAAGCAAAGGTGCATCACACACGACATATGAAAAGGAAAGGCACAACATGGTGCAGCACACTACACCGCACCATAACGCTGCACGATACAGCACAGCACGATACAGCTCAGCACGATACAGAACAGCACAGCTTCACACGGCACACCGCGCCACAACACAGCACACTGCGCCATCATCTCACCTTTGTTTCTCTGCCAAGGACGCTGGGCTTGCCAGCGAGGGCCAGTGCCATCGCACAGACGATGGAGGACTTGCCAGTGCCTAAGGACGCCGTGGTTTGCCATGGGGAAGGAAATCGTGCATGCGCGTCAGGAATGCACAAAACGCAGGCGCACGCTTGTCGATGGGCAAGGCCGCGCAATGTGTGGAGGCAAGGATCGGGCAGGGCGTGCGCACACACAATCTGTTCACAGTCCACAAACACAAGCACGCGCGTTACCGTTGGGACCGATGACCACATTCAAGCTGGGGCCTGGCCGGAACTCAACATGGTTGTACGTACTGCACGTCATGACATGTTGTATGAGCAGCGCATGTGAACGAAGCTGCTGGTCACAGCCACAACAGCCACAACACAAGCAACGACAGCGACAGCCTCCAAATCGCGGCAGCAAAACAACTACCACATACATGCTCGCGCCTGCACACTCACACAAAGTTCTCCAGCTTCATGCGGACAATGGCACCATCTCGGTACAAGCTGGGGCTCGTGGTCTTTGATTTCTTCGCTGCAGGCGGTCCATCGCCGTTGGCGGTCTCTTGTTCTTCTGCAACTTCATCATCGAACTCGCCGTCATCGTCCACTTCCGCTTCTTCCTTGTGGCGCCGTCGCCGTGACGTTGGGGCCATGGTGTTGGCAGCGGTGGTGCTTTGGTGGTGCTTAGGTGCTGGCCGTGTCGCTCGCTCAACGGTCCAGTCACACACCACAACGCACAGTCGTTTGTCGCAACAACACGCTTCAACAATAATGTCGGACAAGGCGCGAAAACCCAGTTCGGCCTATAACAAGTGCATTGGCCTATATGTATTTGGGTTGGTGTGTGTGTGTGTGTGTGTGTGTGTGTGTGTGTGTGTGTGTGTGTCTGTCTGTCTGTCTGTCTGTCTGTCTGTCTGTCTGTCTGTCTGTCTGTCTGTGACACTTCCACACGAGCATGGACACATACAAACATGCACACCTACACACACACACACACACACACACACACACACACACACAGATGCACACACGCACGCAAATGTACATGACGCGTGTGCTATGAACAGAGGATAGATAAGTGCTGGCGAAGGTCCGGGTAGCCAAGGAGGGAGCTGGTGCGCAGAAACAGCTGGAGAAGGAGGGCGTTGTTGGCGGCAATGCGAGCCATGGCATTGCACGTCTCTGCTGCGCGCAGGTCAGACAAGTCTCCCGCGCGATGCAGCCGCAGCGCTGCAACCACCACGTCACACGCACGCCGCACACTCAGCGCACCATCATCAGCATCGGTCTCAGCATGGTCGGGAAACAGGTGCCGTTGGCATGCTGCACGCGACTCCACAATGGCTGCCGTGTTGGCAACTGGAATGGCCGTCGCATCAGTAATAGCAAACCATGCGTTGCCGAGCGTCACAACCAACGCAGCAGCACGCTCCTCCCGCGACATCATCGCGGACGAGGAACCCGCAATACCAGAAGCAGCAGCAGCATCGGCCAATCTGTGTTGCTCTATTGCATCTCGGTGTTGTCGCTTTGATGGTGGTGCTGTTGGAGTGCGGCTGTGCTGGGTGTAAACAGGAAGCTGCGTATCTGCTGACATGCCCACGTCTGGAACAGCGAGAACACGGTGCAGCCACGCCCATTCCTCAGCACCAACAATTCCTCCACCTTTTTGTTGTTGTTGTTGTTGTTGTTGTTGTTGTTGTTGTTGTTGTTGTTGTTGTTGTTGTTGTTGAGCAAAAGATCCGCCCCGCAGCACGGGCGGCAGCGGCAAGAGGTCACCGCTGGTGATGGCGGCGAGAAGATCAGCAAACAACAGCAGCGGGTGCTCCACCACAAGCACAGCGCGGCGTGCACGCGACAACGCACCTGCTGCCGCTGCTGGCTGCAATGCAAACCACGACTGTACAGCACCAAGTGCGCTTGCACCTGGATGTGCGGCTGCCTTGGTCAGCACTCGCAGCACAGCACGCCGTGTCGCCGCCACCACAGTGAGGCGAGACGTTGTGGAAGACGAAGATAAAGACGCGGCTGAAGATCTCATGAGCGACGAGGATGACGCTGACAACGGTGACAGCTGTGGTGATACTGGGCGAAGCTGGCGTGAGCGTTGGCGCAAACTGCACACGCGTGTCGACAGCGGGGAGAGTGCGCAGGCAAGCAGCTGCGGCAGCGCGTCCTCCTGCTCGCAGGCGGTGTTGACCTCGGCCAGGTACTGCGCAGTGAAGCCGAGCGAGGCCTCGTGGTGGCGGCGCTCGTAGTCTGCAGAGGAGGCAGGGGACGCGCGGCGGGCGTAGCGGCGGCGGTACACGGACCACGCGACCACCTGTGACGGCGGGAGTGGGGGTGGGATAGTGAGCGGGGTACGTTTGGGACGGCAACCAAAGTATGCAGGCACACACTGAACACCCACGCACACATGCACACACAGAGACATACGGACAACACACAAACTCACACTCACACTTACACTCACACTCACACTCACACGCACACACACTGAACATACTGAACACACACGCAAACACATAGACGTAAACACACAATCACACACCTTCATGTGATGGATGAGGGCCTGGCTCGGGTAGAGGGAGAGAACGGTGCTGTTGGGAGCGCTGCAGATGGTGTGCACGGAGTTGAACAGCGAGCTGTGCGCGTGCGTGGGGCGAACAATGGTCTTGACGTTGCCCAGGAGCGGGTTGTCCCTGTGCAGGCGGCAGCGGTAGGTGTTAAGCATGGGTGCCCCGGGTGGGTGGTCACGCAGCAGCCGCCCACTGCTGTAGGAGGCCATCAGCATGCGCACCTGGCCCGTGGTGGCCGGCAGCGTGGCCAGGTACGATCGCAGCGCACGCGTCGGCCTCAATGACGTGCGCGAATGCACCGTGGCATACTCGTCCACGTCCATGAACATCACCCACTCGCACTCGCGCTTGGCGCGCAGCAGACAGTGGCCCGTATACCCCGGCTGCGTGTGCGGCGTGGGAAACCACACGTAGTCGATGGTGAAGAACAGCTGCAGCAGGCGCACGTGCGCGTGAAGGTTGTCCACCCCAGAGTCGTTGTCGTACACAAACGTCTTCTGCAGCCCATGCACGGCCGTGTAGAACCGCAGCCACTCCTCAAGGAACTCACTCCGGTGCCACATGAGCAGGCACGCGCACAGCTGATACGGAGGGCCCGCCGCTTGCTGTGTGCGCTGTGCGGGCGGCGTGAGGTGGGGCGTGTCGACGTGTCGCAAGCGATGGCGGCGTTGCCGTTGCTGGTGCTGCTGCCCTGGTGTATTCGTAGAAGCAGAGGGTATGGAGCGTATGGCTGTTGCTTGCACAGGTGTGTCGACTGCTGTCCTTGTTGTTGCTGTTGGGATGACGGTCGTCGGATGGGCAAGCACGCCGCGAAAAGCGACGGTGACGGTCGTGTGGCCGAGCCGGAGCGAGCGTGGCACGGGGCACCGCGTGATCTGCTGCACGACGGAGAGCGGGCGCGTGATGGCTGGGGGGTGGTTAAACACGCAGCGCACGCCACTGTCTTCGATCGTGAGGTTGTAGAACTCTGATGCGCCGCAGGTGTTGCGTTCCGTTGTCGCCAGGAAGCGGAAGCCGAGCGACTCGCTGGCGTGCGTCAGCTGCTTGTGGAACACGACAACCGTGCCATCGCCTTCATTCTGCACCAGATAGACTTCCCCGCGGTGGGGGGCCTACAGCGCATGTGTGCATATGTAGACAGAGAGAGAGAGAGGGTGTGTGTGTGTGTGTGTGGGTAAGAGAGAGAGAGAGAGAGAGAGAGAGAGAGAGAGAGAGAGAGTGTGTGTGTGTGTGTGTGTGTGTGTGTGTGTGTGTGTGTGTGTTGCGTGAGCAAGTGTGCGTGAGAGAGTAGTGTGCGTGAGAGAGTAGTGTGCGTGAGTGTGCATATGCGTGTGTCTGTGTGCCACGACACCTGCACCACCTGCACTGCACTGCATCCACACACCCTCTTTGCTCGCACCTTGTTGGCAGCGGTGGCGATGGCTGCGTGGATGATGCCGTGGTGGCCGCTGTCACGTGGAACCAGCGCCAGCATCAGCACCAGCACCACCACCACCACCACCACGCGCATGCATGCACACTGTCACAAACACAGAACTTTGTTTGCGCCAATCGCTTTCCCCACCTCTGAGCGCTGGGAGCAGTGTAAGATTTCAGCGAGTTTTCCCCAATAAAACAACAGAACAAAAAGAAGAACTGGGAGGAGGACCAACCATCATCAAACTGCCACAACAGCCACCAACCAACCAACCAACAACGAAGATGATGCGTGAAGATGAACGCCCACTGCGGCGACGGGTTGCCAGCAGCAGCGAAGGTGCGGTGTGTGTGTGAGTGTGTGTGAGTGTGAGAGTGAGTGTGTATGCAATTGTGTCAGTGAGTGTGTATGTGTGTGTGGTGTGTGTGTGTGAGTGTGTGTGTGTGTTGGCACTGTCTGCCTCTTCCCCCCAAACGCACAAACACACACACACACACACACACACACACACTCGCTGCTCGTTGTTGCGCAGGCGCTGATGACTCGTTTGTAATGACGGAGGAGCAAGTGAAGATGGTCAAGTCGGCGATACACAAGGACAGGAGCAACCCGCTCGTCACCAGCATCATCTGGATGATCATCGGCGGCTTTGTCTACTTTTACTTTGACCTGCAGAGTGTCCTTCTCTTTGATCCTCGCATCCCAACGTCAGTTGTGTATGTATGTGTGTGTGTATTGGCTTGTGTGCTTGGGCATGTGTGTGCGTGTGCGTGTGTGTATGTGTACGTGTATGTGCATGCGTGTGCTTGTGTGTGTGCTTGTGTGTTTGCTCGTGCGCTTGTGTGCAATTGTCTCTGCGGGCTTTGTGTTTGAGTTGAATGTATCTTTCAACCTTCCATGCTATCTCCCTCGACCAGCGTGCACTCGTGCGTCTTTGCTCCCGTTTTGCATTCACCTCACCTCACCGCACGCACACACACACACATACACACACACTGCACACACACACACACCTTCTGACTGACACAGGTTTTGGTTGCGGTTGTCTGCTGTGTTGTTTGGAGTGTCGTGCGGGACTGGAACCTTGTGTGTGTTGGCCAGCCTCCTATTCAAGGTGGACTATGAACAACAGTTTCCCTGGGCGATCCCACTTGCGGCTGGCACAGGCGTGCTCTGCGTTCTCTCGTAAGCTATGCGTTACGGCATTTCTGTGTGTGGCTGTGTTTGTATGCGTGTGTGTGCATGCGTGTGTGTGTGTGTGTGTGTG